CTCGGCCTCCCAAAGTGCTGGGATTACAGGCTTGAGCCACCGTGCCCGGCCCAGGAGAATCTCTTGAGCCCAGGAGGTGGAGGTTGCAGTGAGCCGAGATGGCGCCATTGCACTCCAGCTTGGGCGACAGAGTGAGATGCTGTCTCAAAATAAATATATAAATAAAAATAAGCAGGGCATGGAGGTGTGTACTTGTAGTCCTAGCTACTCAGGAGACTGAGGCAGGAAGATCTCTTCAGCCTAGGAGGCTGAGGCCACAGTGAGCCAAGGTCGTGCCACTACACTCCAGCCTGGGTGACGTGAGACCTTGCCTCTAAAAGTTGTTTATGTAAATTAGAAAAAAAATAAATACAAAAAAACTAAATCTGACCACATGGTGATTACAAAACATACATGTAAAATAGAACACAGAAAGACTAAAATTCAAAGAACATAAATATATAATATAGGTAAATTCTAATCACAAGAAAGCTAATTTAACTATATTTCTAGCAGACAAAATAACTTTTATTTTTGTTTTTGTTGTTTTTGTTTTTGTTTTTGTTTTTGTTTTTTTTTGAGACGGAGTTTCGCTCTTGTTACCCAGGCTGGAGTGCAATGGCGCGCGATCTCGGCCCACCGCAACCTCCGCCTCCTGGGTTCAGGCAATTCTCCTGCCTCAGCCTCCTGAGTAGCTAGGATTACAGGCACGTGCCACCATGCCCAGCTAATTTTTTGTATTTTTAGTAGAGATGGGGTTTCACCACGTTGACCAGGATGGTCTCGATCTCTTAACCTCATGATCCACCCGCCTCGGCCTCCCAAAGTGCTGGGATTACAGGCTTGAGCCACCGCGCCCGGCCAAAATAACTTTTAAGCAGAAAGAATTACTAATCACTACAAAACAAAATTATTACAAAATAATAAAAGGATCAATTAACCAGGAAGATATAACAATTCTAAACTAGAAAGCACCTCAATAACACAGCATTTAAAAATACATAAAAGCAAAACTTGACAGATCTTCAAGAGATAATGACAAATTCATTGTCATAATAGATTTATTAAAATACCTTTCCCAGTACTAGATAGTTCAAACAGGCCAAATAAAGTCATGCCATATATAGAACATCTTGAACTGCACAATTAGAAGCTGGCCTAATAGAAATAGAAAATTGGAGAAGAAGCATTATTTTCAAGTATACATGGAATATGACAAAAATTTACAACCTTCCAGGCCATAAAGTTAGCCTCACAAGTGTCTAAATGCAATTAACTTAGAAATCAGTTACAAAAAGATAAAGGAAAAAAAGTATGTTTGGAAATTTTTTAAATGCACTTTTCAACAACTTGTGGATCAAAGGAGAAATCAGTAGAAATCAGAAAATACTTAAAAGAAATAAATGGTAATGAGAATATTGTGTATCAAAACCTGTAAGATACAAGTGGTACTTAGGAGGAAATTCATAGCAGTACTGTTTACATTAGGAAACAAATAAGGCTCAGAATAAAGAGGTAAGAAATTAGAAAAACAACAATAAACACAAAGAAAATAGAAAGAAGGAAATAAGAGCAGAAATTAATGAAGTAGAGAAACATTCGGTAGAGAAGATCAACAAAGCCAAAAGTTAGTTATTTAAAAAGACTAGTAGCCTAACTTGCAAGAGTAACCAAGAATCAAAAAAAAAAAGAGAAATAAGAAAACCATAACTAAAGGTGCGACAGATATTAAGCAGGTAAGAGTTATAATAACTTTTTGTCAATAAATATGAAAAATTAAATAAAATGAGTAGAGTCCCAGAAAAATACAATTCACCAAAAATGGCTGAAGAAGAAATAAACAGCCTGAAAATTAAAGAATTTGAACCAACTTAAACTTTCCACAAAGCAACCTCCAGGCCCCAGTGGCTTCACCAGTGAATTATTTGAGTCAATAGAAAACTGGATAATTGAACCATGGTAGAGTTATACAATGGAGTGCTTCCTAGCAATGAAAACAAACTACAACTACATACATCAACATTATTTTTTATTTTTATTTTTTTGGAGATAGAGTCTTACTCTGTTACCCAGGCTGGAGTGCAGTGGTATGATCTTGGCTCACTGCAACTTCTGTCTTCTGGTTCAAGCGATTCTCCTGCCTCAGCCTCCTGAGTAGCTGGCATCGCAGGCACATGCCACCATGCCCAGCTAATATTTGTATTTTTAGTAGATATGGGTTTTTACCATGCTGTCCAGGTTGGTCTCAAACTCCTGACCTCATGTGATCCGCCCACCTTGGCCCCACAAAGTGCTGGGATTACAGGTATAAACCACCATGCCTGGCCCAATATTTTTTTTGTCTTGCTTCTTTTTTTTTGGAAATGACTACTGCAGTATGTTTTGCTTCTTTTTAAAAAAAAAAAAAATTTTTTTTTTTGAGACAGGTTCTTGTTGTGTTGCCAAGTCTGGAGTGCAGTGGCATGATCATGGCTCACTGCAGCCTCAACCTCCTAGGCTCAAGCAATCCTCCTGCCTTAGCTTCCTGAGTAGCTGGGACCTCAGGTGTGCACCACCACACCTAGCTAATTTTTGTTGTTGTTGTTTTTGTGTGAAAACGAGGTTTCACTATGTTGTTCAGGCTGCTCTCCGACTCCTGGGCTCAAGCAATACTCCCACCTCAGTCTTCCAATATGTGTAAAAAACAATTTAACAGAAGAATAATTATTCTGGAAAGACTGTCTTTTTCTGTTTGCAAGCTGAAAAGAGTTCTTTGATAGCCCTTAAATTCTGTAAAAGAGAATCTGTGAGGACAGAAAGTTCAAAATGGGAAGCACTTAGTGGCTCAGGACCTTTTAATGAGTAGAGTGTATAGGGCCTGATCAGTTCTTCTGGTTCACCAGCCTTTCCTAAGCGCACAGCAAACATGCTTGCTTCCTGCCACTCTCCACCCTCAGGTCAGGAGGTAACTGAGGTCTTGGCAGCTGCCCTTCAGTCCTGCCCCAAACCAACTGAGCATCTGGAAGTTAAACGAAAGGCCAGCAATGTCCTGACTTCGTGAGTCAGCTCCTGTGAACTGAGAGAAGACGTGGTGAGGCCAAAACAAGTGCTCATGGGACATACTACTGCAAAGAACAGAGCAAAAAGAGTGATAAGAGATAAGGAAAGCCCAGGAAATCTTGTTTAGGGCCAGCCAGTGAATTCCCCTTTCTCTCTCCAGTCCCCCAAATTTCCCATTGCTCTTAGAGTCAGAGACTCTTAGGCTCTTGGACTTGGAGAAGCATAAAAAGGAGGGTGTTCTATGGCCCAAAAGAGAGTTTGTTTTTGTTGTTGTTGTTGCTGGTTTTTTTTTTTTTTGTGAGACGGAGTCTGACTCCATGGCCAAGGTTGGAGTGCAGTGGCACAATCTCAGCACACTGCAACCTCTGCCTCCCGGGTTCAAACAATTCTCTGGCCTCAGCCTCCTGAGTGGCTGGGACTACAGGCGCATGCCACCATGACCTGCTAATTTTTTGTATTTTTAGCAGAGACAGGGTTTCACCATGTTAGCTAGGATTGTCTCTTATCTCCTGACCTCGTGATCTGCCTTGGCCTCCCAAAGTGTTGGGATTACAGGTGTGAGCCACCACGGCCGGCCTTGTTTTTGGTTTCGTTTTTGTTTTGAGACGGAGTTTCTCTGTCGCCCAGGCTGGAGTGTAGTGGTGCAATCTCGGCTCACTGCAACTTCCACACCTCTGCCTCCCCAGTTCAAGCGATTCTCTTGCCTCAACCTCTTACAGGCATGCACCACCACGCCCAGCTAATTTTTGTATTTTTAGTAGAAACAGGGTTTCACTATGTTGGGCAGGCTGGTCTCAAACTCCTGACCTTGGATAATCTGCCCACATCTGCCTCCCAAGGTGCTGGGATTACAGGCATGAGCCACTGTACCCAGCCCCAAAAGAGAGTTCAGCTTATTAAGGGCAACCAGTTCCAGGCTTTTGTACATGCTGTGGCCTCTGCTTAGAATATTTCCCCTTCATCTTGTTCTGGCTTGCTCCTTTTTAAAAAAAAAAAAAAAAAAAATAGAGACAGGATCTTACTATGTTGCCCAGGCTGGAGTGCAGTGGTTATTCACAGCCATGATCATTGCACACTACAGCTTGAACTCCTGGACTCAAAGAATCCTCTTGGCTCAGCCTCCCTAGTAGTTGGGACTACAATTGTGTGCCACTGTGCCCAGTTACCTGGCTAGCTTCTATTCCTTCTTTGGATTTCAAATTATGGACCATTTCCTCTTTGAAGTGGAGCTCCCACCACCCAGCCACCACCACCCCACCTTCACCAACTCTTACCACTCTGCCTTACTGCTCTCCAAGAAGAGATTAGAAGCCCTGCTCCCATGGCCTGTTCTTCCTTTATCGGAACTATCCCATTCTAACAGTCGTCTATTTATTTGTCTACTCTCCCACTGGAATTTAAGCTTCCTGAGGCAAGGGACCATGACTATCTTACTACTGTATCTCTAGTACCAAGATATGCATGATAGGTCCTCAGAAAATGCTTGATATATGGATGAATAAAATGAAGGAATGGCAGAGAGGACAATTGGCTCCACATGTCTAGAATGTGGTTCTCAGCAGCCTAAGGGAGGAGCCTTCCAGGCAAGGGAAAGGAGCACCAGGCTTTCTCCCTTCCTCTCCTTCCAGCTCCTTCCCATTTCTTTTGCCATGGCACCCCCCACCCCCCACCAACACCCATCTCCGCTTCCCTTTTGGTGTGAGTTTGAGCTCCCTCTACTGACCAAACTTCAGAACCACAGGTAGCCAAGCCCAGGCACCCTTGCCAGTTATTCTTCACTAGGAAAAGACCCTTCTACACCCCAGCACTCCGAATCTAGGATTCCTAAGGGACTGGAGTAAGGAGAAAACAGGGCTTGTCAACACACTGGAGAGTTCCAAGGTCTGAGCCCACACCTCCCACCCTCAACATCAGCAGCACTTCACTCACACCCTCACCTCATGCTGTTTCCTGGGGTCTCCACTCCCAGACTCCTACTCCAGCTAATTCACAGAAATGTTGATTTCTGGAGCCTTTGGCTGATACATCAGCTCTGACTGTGGAAGACAGATCCCAATACAGATTGAGGAGAAACAGAAAAACATAATGAGAGACAACATAGAGGAAGGGACCCACTGACTGGATATAAACCCACAGTGAGACAAAGATCAGAGATGAGAAGGACAGCCCACTTAAGCTGAAGCCTCAGCCCTTTCCACCCATATCGAGGGCCTGTGTCCTATGAAGAAAGATTTCCCTCATCCCTTCAGTCTGCCTATATCCATACACAGCTAAGGGAAGTGACTGTTGATCACATCTGCAGGCTTAATGGAGATATTATTTAGGGACAGCTCCTGGACAAGAACACTCTCCCAAGCCCTGCCACATTCCCCTGAGAGGACCCCGTCCAGAGCTCACATCTTCACTGTCATTTCCACTGAACGAGTGCTCTGACTCCAGCCCCTTCTCAGGGATGCTTCTGTCCTCCTCTGGCATCAGCTCATCCAGCCAGAGGAGTTCCTGTGGTGAGAAGACCCTCTCCAGGGCCTTTCGGACCCCCACAAGGCCCAACAACTGTAGGAATAGAAACACAGCCCAGGCCTGTCAGCAACAGCAATAGGAACATTAACAATAGTAACATGTATCGAGCATTTCCTATGTGCTAGGCATTGTGTATCAGTTTCACTGAATGCTAACACATTCCTATGAGGTAGATAGAATAATTATTCCCATTGTACAGAGAAGGAAACTGAGGCCCCGACTGATTAGTTACTTCCCAGAGGTCACACGTCTGGGATGTAGTAAGCAGATTGGTTCTAGTTCTACTGCAAAGCCTATGATTCTTAACTTCCTCACTAAGAACAAGGCTAGAAGCCACCTGTGTTATCACCTCACTGAATAACAAAAGTGTCACGATTTCCTCTCCCAAGACCTCAGATTTCTTCTGGGTTTTATATTCCTACCTGTGGTTGATCACTTCAAATAGGTTGGGAAAAGGGGTGACTCAGGTGTCTCAGGACTAGCCCAAATCTAGGTATCACTCTGCCATCTTTTTCTTTGTCTTAGTATTTCCAACAAGGGAGAGCCACAGCAAGTGAGAGGGGAGATTCTTCCTCTTGTGGAGGCCTTGGCCACCCTTCCAGACTCAAAGTCCCCCATGACCCTCTAGGACACATCCCAACCCTGCCTCAGGTTACCATGAGGGGGAAGATGATGGCTGCAGGGGTAGACTTGATTATCCAAAGCAGCCCCAGACAGGCAAGCTGGATGGCTGTGAAAAGGTGAACCCTGGTCAGAGGCACATGCCGTAACAGTAGCAGGTCTGGCTGGTGTTTTGCTGGCATCAACAACAGCTTTACTCTCTTAGTGAACTAGGGGAACAAGAGGAAGAAGAATGCAAGGCACTCAGGTAGCCTGACAGGAGGGTGTCGCTGATAGCTATCTTAGCCCAGCATGGGGAGCATGGGTAGGAGCATGGCAGCCGAGTCCCTGAGCCCAGGAGAGACAGGAAAAAGAGGATAAGAGGGGAATCGGCAAGTGTAGGCAGGAGATGCCAGCATAGAAGAAAAAAGGAGCGGGGTTGCTAAGTCTTTTTTTTTTTTTTTTTGGCTAGGTGATTTTAATGGGCTCACCTGAATGCTGCTAAGTGCTGCCACCCCCATGTACAGGAAGATGCCATAGAGCACAGGCATTGGGATGAACTGGTAGAAAGAAGCAGAGAATTGGCAAAGTTTACCTCTGCCAACCTCCCAGATGCCCCAGGATGCCTAGTTGCCCTAGATGCCTCTAGCATCTAGCATCCAGGTCTGCTCAGGTCTTGCCTTTCCTTTCAAACTTTGCATACCTAATCTTATTGAATCCTCAAATCAATCAGATGAAGTAAATGTTATTATTGCCTTCATTTTACAGATGGGGAAATTGAATTTCAGAGGAACTAAGTAACTTTGTCCATTACCTAGCCTACCTCTCCAATCTTATCTATCACATTTCCCTCTGTTCTTTATGCTCCTACTATACTAACCTCCTTTCCTTCCCTCAACATGCCCAAGTTTGTTCCTACCCCTTGCAAAGCCTTTTGTTTTGCCGTTCCCTCCACCTAAAGGGCTCTTCCCCCAGACTTTCTCATAACCAGTTTCTTCTTACTACTCATGGCTCATCTCATGATACCCCCAAGGGTCTTCACTGACTTTTTGACTTCAGGCCCAATCTTAAGTAGTCCCTGGCACTCTTAAACATCTTATCCTATTTTATTTTTCATAGAAGTGATCGCTATCTAAAGTTATCCGATTTTCTTTTTATTTTTATTTTATTTTATTTTTTGAGACAGAGTTTCACTCTTTCACCCACGCTGGAGTGAAGTGGCATGATCTTGCATCACTGCAACCTCCACCCACCAGGTTCAAGCAATTCTCATGCCTCAGCCTCCCAAGTAACTGGGATTATAGGCGCTTGCCACCATGCCCAGTTAACTTTTATATTTTTAGTAGAGATGAGGTTTTGCCATGTTGGCCTGGCTAGTCTCAAACTCCTGACCTCAGGAGTGATATACCTGCCTTGGCCTCCCAAAGTGCTGGGATTACAGGTGTGAGCCACCATGCCCGGCCCCTTGTTTTAATTTTTAAAAATCTTTCTCCTTTCACCATATTGCAAGGTTGGAAAAATGATCTCCTTTGACCACCATTGTATCCCCAGTACCTAGAACAGTGCTTGGCATATGGGTTTTTGTTTGGTTTTTGTGTGTGTGTTTTTGTTTTATTTTTGTTTTTTGCTTTTTGAGACAGGGTCTCACTCTGTTGTCCAGGCTGGAGTACAGTGTCACAAACATGGCTTATTGCAGCCTAGACCACCTGGGCTCAAGTAATGCTCCCACCTTAGCCTCCCAAGTAGCTGGGACTACAGGTGCACACCACCACGCCCAGCTAATTTTTGTATTTTTTGTAGAGACGAAGTTTCGCCATGTTGCACAGGCTGGTCTCCAACTCCTGAGCTCAAGCAATCTGCCTACCTTGGCCTCCCAAAGTGCTGGGATGACAGGTGTGAGCCACCGCACCTGGCCTGGCATATGGTTTATGCTCTAAATGTCTATGAATGAGAGTCACCCAGTTAGTAAGTGGCTGATCCGGTTCATCTGGCTCTTTCCCTACTCCACTGTCACCCAGCTTTCATGACCTTTCCCTTCCCTAACCTCTTGTCATCCTGCCAGTGACTCTTGTCTGACATTCTTCACACCCTCCTTGACTGCTTTGCTATTTTGGCTCATTGAACCTTTCTGCTATTACTTTTTACTTAATTTTTCCTTGTGTGTATGTTGCTGGTAGGGGCTTGGTTCCATGTTTCTTTTCAATATTCCCCTAAGCCCCACTTCTCCCAGGTGCCTAGCAGTCTTGCATATGGCACATATTTTATATACCTTTGGTGAAGGAGAAGTGAAAGCTTTTTGCCTCAGAGTTTTTCTGGGGTATGACAGTCACACCTTTTTTTTTTTTTTTTTTTTTGAGATAGTCTTGTTCTTGTCATCCAGTGATCACCACTCACTGCACTCTCAAACTCCTGGGCTCAAGTGATCCTTCCACCTCAGGCACGTACCACCATGCCCAGCCACTTTTTTTAGTTTTTTGTTTGTTTGTTTGTTTTTAAGGCGGGGTCTCACCATGTTGGTCAGGCTGGTCTTGAACTCCTAACCTCAGGTGATCCACCTGCCTTGGCCTCCAAAGTGCTTGGATTACAGGCATGAGTCACCATGCCCGGCCCTTTTTTTAGTTTTTGTAGAGTCAGGGTGTCCTTATGCTGCCCACTCTCAAACTCCTGCACTCAAGTGATCCTCCCACCTTGGCCTCCCAAAGTGCTGGGATTACAGGTGTGAGCCACCACACCTGGCCTGATCATACTCTTAGTCTCAGTTTCATTGGGAGGCTAGAGCAAGGATAGCACTTAGACCCTAGGGGATGGTGGTGGCACACTCACACCTTGCTCCTCTGGGTAGAAAGCCCACTGGATAAGAGTTAGGGTTCTCAGACAGATCTGAAAAACCGGCTCTTCCGATGGGCTGTTGCAAGTTACCTTGCCTCTTTAACCTTCAGCTGCCTCATCTGTAAAATACATATTCCTCTCAGGATTAACGTGAGGATTAAATGAGACCACGTATGGAGAAAACTTAATAGAGCGCCTGGCACACTGTAAGTGTTCAACTAGTGTCAGTTCTTGCATGCTTCCTATCATTACTGCACTGACCCTGATCCTGGCTTGTCTAACAAAGGTACCTTGAGCACAGGTGCCAGGAAGATGGAGACTCCTGTAAGGATGAACACCACCAGGCCCGTCAGCCTCTGCTCCCTGTAGGAAGAGGGAGGAGTTAGCTGGGGTTTGGGAGAGGGAGAGCCCCTGGGGTACACAGACTGGAGATCCTGGCTGAACACCAATATGGACCCTGGCAGCAAGAGGAAACTAGAGGAATACCCCAGGAGGTCACCTGGAGGGATGGGCCCTTAACTTGATGTGAAAAATTGGTGGAGAAGAAGGGGCAGAGCACTTCAAGGTGACAATCGCAGACCTCTCCATCAATTCAAGTTCATCATTGCTCCTCATTTTTATTTTGATGGAAAATTAGCAATTTTTACACTGCCATAAAGACTTCACATTTCACAATTTATAAAGTTGATTTCATATACTTTAGATACTTAGACTGTTTCCAACAATTCCAAAATTGCTTTTAGGTTGGATTCCTTTGTAACTTCTACATTTAGTGAGGATTCTTAGGTGGCACCTGTCCCTCCACTTCAGCCCTGGCTGCCTCTAGCTTTGCATGGTTGATGCTCCTCTTGAGGCCCCTCCCCATCCCCATGGCTAAGGGAAGAGAGGGGAAGATCTGACTTACCCATCTCAGAGCCCAGAACACACTCATTCTGCCACTGCAGTGCTTGTGGGATACCAGCTTAGAATTTAAGCTGCCCAAATAACTCTGTCATGTTCCCCATTGCCCTACCTTGCTGCCCACCTCTTATTGTACTTCCTAAATACTACCCTCACCTGATACCCAGGAAGTTGGGGAGCTCCCCGGGAGCACAGGCTCTGCTCTCTCTCCGAAGACTGTCCATATGAGCCAGGGAGATGACAGTGGCTGAGACATACCAAGGCAGTCCAAGCGCTGATGTGAGTAACATCAGCAGAGCCACACAGAAGAGGTCCAGGTGGAAGCCAGCTCCCTTCTGCAGGTAGTGGTGGGGGCAACAAGGATGACGCTAGCCCAGGCTGGGCCTTCTGTCCTCTGAGGTAGGAGATGGGGGGCCTAGACCGTCCCCTGGAGCTCCTGTTCCTTGGTCGAGGGCCTTACCTTCAGTCTATATTCTACACGGTTGAGGATGACTGCTGTGATCTGCTGGTCCATGAAGATGAGGATAGACAGCAGCAGGGCAGGCAGGGCAGCTGCCACACTCCACCACCAGTGGTTGGCTCCAAAAGGTGACACCAGCCAGCCACGCCCAGGGAGTGTGGGCTGGGGGAGGGCATTTCACGGACAGGTTGGAGAGGGTCTCCCAAGAGCATCTCACCTGCACACCTCAACCTTGGCATTCTTCCACTTTCTGCCCCCACCCCAAGGTATTAGATGCTAGTGAGGTATGTGTGCACAGGTGGTTCAAAGCATCCTAGGGCCTTAAAAGACAGCAGAATGAAGGAAACCAGCCCTGAGGTCGGGCTGGAACCAGGGGCTCTGGACTTTGGTTCAGTGTCCCTCCTTCCCTGGAAGAGAAGGAGGTAGCAGATGTGGCCTGCATATACTTCTTGATGTACTCCTTAGAGACCTCTCTTTCCCTCTCCAGGGTGGGGCAACTCAGGCTCAGACCTGCCTTGATCTGGGGCAGGGACAGGGCTGGGTGTGTCGGCGTCAACTCTGATTACAAGCATATGTGTGGGGAAAGGGGCCCTAGTTGCTGCCCTAGTTGGAGTGCCCCTGCTCTTCTGTCTTGGGGGAATTTGGAGAGGCGGTCTCCAAATGCACAAAGTCTAGAAGTCAGTGCTAAGCTTTGTCCTGCACACTGTCATGCCCTGGAAAGGGAGTTCCAGCTTTCCTGGATCCGAGCAGGCAATAAGGGGTGTGAAGAAGAGAGTGAGGAGTAGTGGGGTGGGCAGGGCCACGCCGAGGGTAGGGCGAACCCATAACAACAATATCTAACATTTATTGAGGATTTGGTATATGCTAAGCACGTGCTGAGTGCTTTCCACTATGATCTTCTGTAAACCTCAAAACAATCTATAGGGTAGCAACTATTGTCATTTTATTATTTCCATTTTATAGATGAAGAAATTGAGCTCAGAAATGTGCATTAACTTGCCTAATGCATAGCTGGGAAGTGGAAGAACTGGAACTCAAACCAGAGCTGGCTGACCAGAACCCATTCTCTTAACCCATAGCCTGTAATAATAGCTACTATGTATTCTCTGTACTCACGTGTCTGCTGCAATACCTCATTTAATCCTCACAGCAACCCTGTGAGGCCATTCTTATTACTATCTCTAGCTTATGAGTGAAGAAAAAAGCTTAGCTAAGAGAAGTGTGGGATTTATGCATTTTCCTTCCCCATAGTCTGCTGGCCCTGCTTTCCCCTCTGGTCCCCCAACCTTCTTCCCTTGCTCTCACCTTGAACTCTCTGGGCACCATGAGCTTTGGTGTGGCTAGGCCCAGGAAAGCATCAAGGCCACAGCCCAGCAGGATGGCCAGGACTGAGGAGAAGTCGCTGAGCCCTCTGCGTACCTGGCACACAGTGGACACTCAGTCAGGTCCAGGCCTGCCATCCCCCTTTTTCCATACCACTTCCTGTTCACAGATAGGACCCTAGAGTCAGGCCTCTCCCACAGAAAGGTGACACTCACCACAGAGGGGAAGAAGCGGCTGGTCTTTACACACTTGAGGGCCATAGCAAAGAAGAAGGAAGTAAGGAAGAGGAGGAGGGAGAAGAAGGCAATGTCTGGGACTGTATGACAGCCAGGGCCACGAGGGTGGCCTCCCTGCCGTGTGCACTCCGGTGGCGGCAGCAAGGATGCATTGATCAGGCCTAGGTCCTGTACAGAGGAGGGTCAGGGATGGGGTTACAGGCAACGGAGTAAATGTCCTGCTCTCTTGGACCCACCTCAAGGGAGGAGGGACCCACAGAGATTCCAAGGGTCCAGGATGGGAATTTCCCAGCTGTAGGAAATGGCTAAGCCTCACAGACCTATGAAGATTTCCTTAGCCTATGGGTAGGAAGAGCTAGGAACCACTGACTGCCTTGGCCTCCACCCTTTCCTTCCTAGAACCTCCAGGAGCAGGCCCTCACCATGCTTAAGATGTCATCTCTGTCTTTTGGGCTTGTTGTTGTCCATTGAGACTCATTTCCTGGGAAGCAGAGAATAATTCAGGTGTATGTTCCCTCCCCTGGGAACCTTCTCCAGCCCCATAAAATTCTAATCTGATGGGTCCAGCTGCACCAGAGTTCTTAATTTCGACTCATCTGTCTGCTGACTCCATCATTACCAAGTGTGTACTTCTCAGGACATTGTCTCATGCCCTTGTCCTCTCAAGTTCTTTTCCCATCTGCATCCCTGGTACCAAGCACAGGACCTGGCCACAGCAGATGCTCAGCAAATGTTGGCTGAATGGAGGAGTATACAAATCTGTGTGTTTCCACCAGGGCTAGAACTGGTCTTGTACATGCCTAGCACTGATAGAAGAACATGTAGAGAGGCCACTTCTTACCAGTGTGGTGTTGCCTTCCATGTGGAAGGATATATGCACGTGTAAGACTCCAAGCCTCTCTCCACCTGGCCGGCCACTTTCACCAAGAAGACCAGTGATTTATTTGATTGGTGATTTCCGGAGACGAAGCTGGGTATACCTGGCCCTGCCCCTTTCTCTCCCCTCTCTCAAGTATAAGTTGCCTGCTTGACGAATGTGTTTAGCTGTTCTCCTCTGGGGCAAGATAGTCTCAACTTGACTATCCATGCTTCCATGACTGGTGGATAAGTCAATCTAATTTCGGCTTCATCATTAGGAAGCCCATTCACCCATAGATATAACCCATGTATGTTCCTCTATCAGTGTTGTCAGAAAGGAAGATGCCATTGGGCCTTCTGTTGTCTTATTTCTCAACTGATTCAGAACCAGAGTGGAAATAGTACTGCTGGTTATTAGGTGAGTAAGTACGCAGCATTTTGCTGAACTTAATCGGGGGGATAGTAAGGGTGCGACCCCTCCCCTTCCCTACATCCTTCTTCACCTGGCCAAGATCCCTGTTTCCCTTACCCACCTGCTGGGCCTGGGTATTGGCAGAGGCACCCATAGGCAGAGGATCCAGGCTTCTGGATAGGATAGGTATGGGTCAAGTTCAGCATTTTGTTCACAGCATCATAAATGAAGATGAGGCTGATGAGGGCACAGAAACCTTCCTCAGTGAAGCGGGTGAAGTAGCGCACCAGCACACTGGCCTCTGTGGCCACCAGCACCAGGCAAAAGGTAGCCACCCAGATGCCCACCCATAGGCGGAAGGGCAGGTAGTCCAGGCTGTAATCTCTGTGGGGATGAGAGACAGGCGAGGCTTAGCAGGGCTTTCTGCTTCCCACCAAACCCAGGTCAGGTGTCCCTCAACCCAAACAGGTAGCTCCCACCCTCTCCTATTCACCCCCACCCTCTCCTATTCACCCAACCAGGAGCAGGCTGACCATGGCACTAGCGGGAGTCTGGTGATGGTGGGGAGCTCTCCTACCTGCTGAAAGAGAAGAGCAGGCGCTCAAAGACCAGCACTGGCCCGGTGCTGCTCAAGATGGTGAGGGGCTGGCCTGCCATCAGGCAGAAGGCAGCTCCAGCCACTGCTGTGCCCAGGAAACTTTCCATCACTCCCTGGAAGCCAACAGGGACTCAGCACAGAACCCTGGAGTTCTCAGGACAGGACCCCAAGCTTTGGGAGAGCCTCCTGAACTTACCCATAGTCTCAAGGGAAGGGACGGACTGGGGGACACCAAAGCTTCTGGCTGCCCCCTTCACAGAACCCTACCTACCTGGGCACCATCAGTGGCGTCTCCCAGCAGACCCCCGAAAGTGATGGCATTAGTGACAGTGGCCAGGTAAATGTAGAGTACAGCCGAGAAGCACTGGAGATGCAGGGCGTCCAAGAAGTCGCTGGGGTACCACGGAGCCTTCCTGCGCACGTCCTGAAAAAGGCCCCCAAACAGCCTCCCGTCCGAGGGTCGTCAGTGATCCAGGTTTTCACACTCCACACCCTCATCCCCGCTACTTTCCCTGTGGCTGGGTGAGCCCCTCCCACAGTGAGCAGACACCTCTTGTTTCCCTGTGACTCCTCTCCTCCTCCAGGTCCCCTACCCTTGCTTCCTGCCAGCTCGCCTCACCTGCCGGTCCGCTGCAACTCAGGGCTGGGGGCGTGCGGGTCATGGCCGTGCCTGTTCTCAGCCGAGGTCAGGCACGGGACTGCGGGACCTTTGCTCTCCCGCCTGCTGCGAGGGAAGCCTGAGGACGAAGCGGGGAAACGCAGGTTGTCTGAGGCTCTCCGCCAGTCGGCGACTCAGTCCACAGCTCGTGGCGCCCTGCCCCCTGGCGGCTGCTCGTGTCTCTGCCGGCAAGGGAACCACGGCGGCACATGGGCCTCAAGAAGATGCAGGTCATATTGCGACCTGTGAAAGCCAGACTCAGGCAGGGAAGGTCTTTGTTCAGGTCTCTTAGCGAGAGGTTAGTCCAGCAGAACTCAGTTAGGTCTGCCTGACTCTAAGTCCAAAGATAGCTCCCTATCTCTTTCCTGGGACCCCATCCCTCCTCAGCAATGGAACTAGACCCAGGGCCTGTGGGCAGGAATCTGTATGGGATAATGGCTCCCAGGTACCTTTTGTGCAGACATTTGGGCGGAGGAATCCGGGCTGTTGGGTCCCACCGACCTGGGGGAAGCACTGTCACCTCCTCTAGGAAGGCATCTAGGGCTGCCAGAACGTCGTGAAGGTTGCTGGCCCGACGAACTGACCACTGGAATTGCTGAAGATGGGGGCACAGAATGGGTGGTAAGTGCAAATCTGGTCTCTTACATGCATTTTCGTAGTCTCAAAACTAGACACAAGTCACATAAGCAGACAAGTCATTCACATTTTCATTTATGCATGCATTCATTCATTCATTCATTCAGTGGGTATCTATTGTGTCTACAGTGTGCCAGCATTCAGCCAGTAATGCGGCTGCACTAGGAGCCAAGGAAACTTCAGTCTCAATGTTCACTCTGCCTCACTGATGTACTTAGGCAGACATACAGAGTCCACACACACACACACACTCACATGAGCCTAGGCATGCATGTGCACATGTGTACACACATAGTTATACATGCACACACACCCCCCCTGCCCAGCTTACCGGGTCACTGAGGAGGACAGCTGCTGCCCGGGCCATCTCATGGTAGCCTTTTCCCAGCATAGGGGGGCCCAGGAGAAGGCAGAAAAACCTGAGGAGGGAACCAGGCCCCAGAGATTCACAAGCTGCTTTCTCACAGGGCAGCCCTGGCCTCTGACACTCAGCTCTGACCTATCAGCTCCCATACACACACATATTTGCCTATCTCCCTGCAGTCTTGACCACTACTTCTTCCCCAAACCCCTGAGTACCATCTTCCCCACAGCCTCAGAGAATGAACTGAGATCCTCCTTCCCCTCCCCAGTAAAGACCCTCCTAGGCTCCATGATACCTGACTCCCACTCAGTAGCCTCACCTGCTTGGGAGGGACACCTCAGCAAGTGACCCCAGTACCACAGGGTCCCGCAGCCGAACAAAGGCTCCCAGTGGCTGCGCCAGGAAACCCAGCTCCCCTGCCAGCACAGTCCCTGCCTCAGCCCCTGGAGGCAGCTTCTGTCTCAGAGGGTTCTGACACTGGGTGGGGGTTCAAGGAGACACAGAGTATGAAAGGTTATTTGGGGAGGGTAAGATCTCAACTGATGAGAAATCCCGTCGCAAGTAGACTTTTGTTAATTCCTAACCCCTCTCCCAGCCACTAGAGAGGGAGCCCAAGGAAGGGCCACAAACCTGTTCCCTCAGGGGGGCTTCCTCATCGTCAGAAGCCTTTCTTGGATGAGCAGAGCCTACAAAACAGGATTCTGCAGTAATTAAGAGCAAAGGCTTTGGGGGTGGATCCACCAGGACTCCCTAACCAGTTTTGCCACTGACAAGCTGTACGAATTAGAATACACCCTTCTCCACTCTGAGCCTCAGTTTTCTCATCACTAAAATGTGGATAATTGTGGCACTACTTACAGGGTGGTTGTGAAGATCAAAGGAGATTCTGTGTGCAAAGTTCTTGGCATGGTGCCTACCAAGTACATCCCTTCACAGAACTCTCTTACAATTCTAGCCCCCTGAATCTTCTCCCCACAACATTACCACCAGTTTGTTCTTGCTCTCGAATACTGGGTTGGGGTCTGAACTAAGCCTGGGTTACTTCTAGCCCTGGAAGGTTCAGGGAAGATCTGAGACCCTGCCACACCAGGCTCTCACCCCAGCAGGGCCTGGTGCCTGTGGTCTGGTTGTAGTGCTGGGGTCTCTGCAGCAGCAAGGCCTGCAACTGTCCTCTCAGCTCTGGGCTCAGTGACTCCACCGTGGTCACCTGCTCTGGAGAACGGATAGGGGGTGTCATCTCCCTCCTGAGCGTTCCCTGCCCCCACACACTTCCCCTTCTCCCTCTGCCCAGACCCCTTTCCCTTCTGGGAGTCTAGGAATGCCAGGGCCAATGAACTCGCTCCTCCACCCTGCCCTGCCATGTCCACGCTGCGACAAGGGTACACAATCCTAGGAGGGGTTGGGGGTGGGTTTTAGAAGATTCCAAGACTTTGGAGGGGAAATCCTGGGGAAAAGGCATGGCTACCCAGGCTCTTCCTGCCAAGGCTCTCCGCCTACCCACAAGCTCCAGGAGGCTCTGAGCTGGGCAGTCCAGCAGTACAAGACCCTCGGCCAGCAGACTGCGGAGCTTCTGGAGGCTGGGCAGTGCCAGGGTGGGCACGTGGGGGGCACTCCACCGGCCTGCAGCCACTTCCAACTTCTCCTCAAACAGTACCCACCTGCAATGGAGGTGGGTAGACGGTGTTATTGGGGGCATTTCTCCCATGTCCAGGAGCCAGGATGCAGAGGAGCTAGGGAAGGGAAGGCAATGAGGGCATCCTGGGGCCAGTGGTGTGAAGTGTCGCCCCACCCCTGGCAATCACCTCTCATCTTGGGTCTTGGGGATCTCAAAACTAGACTACAGAAGAGGCTGAGCATCACGGAAGGTAAGATCCTGAAATAAGGGAACACAGCTGGGAAAATCCTAATTTTGGGCAGCCCCACAAGAAGAGCTGGGGGGCATGTAGGAGGCTGTAGCTGGGGAAGGGGAAGGATCCCATAGAACTGGCTTGCATCCCACTTACCTGCCTGTCTCTCTCCACTCCAGTGCCTGGGGCCAGCCCAGTAGCTCATTCAGCTGAATGAAGAGCAGAGGGTCTTTGGGTACCCCCAGTTCCTTGCTCTCTGTGGCTGAGGGGCCATCAGGGCTGGGGCCGGGGCCGGGACTGGGGCCAGGACCAACGTCACTGTCCAGCTCCCCTGCAGAAACATTTGTAGGAGCACTGGAAGCTTCAAACCCTTCCTGGCCTGGCAGCTTCATTTCCATGAGGCTGGCACAGAATCTCAGAACCAGTACAGTCCTAGGTCTGAAGCCAGGGGCCCTCTGGCTGGTTTCGTTTATAATGCATCCCCCACTGTAGCACAACACAAACAGAACAAGGCCTGCTGACGCCAGAGCCTGCCAGTCACCTACTCCCCTACTTGCTTGCCCCACCCCCTGCTGGCATAAAGAGTACTTGTAAGACTAGCCTGGCCTTTCCCAGACGCTCCAGAAATGCCCAACCTAGACTCAAAATGTGTATGTGCATTTCCTGTGGTATCAGGTCTGATCCCACTGTGTTTTGTGTAAAGAAATGGGAGTAATTGATTGGCCTGGGTCTGAGGACTGGTACCCCAGATTTTGCTATCCCCTAACTTGTATCAAATAAAAACACCAAACACCCAGGACTGTTTTTGGTATCACAAACACACCCCTGGGGCCACAGACACACCCATTTGGACAAACAAGCACCTAATAAATAATTGGGTCTATGGAAGCCAGACAGGGTAAGGGAGATAGCAGGCAGAGGCTCTGCTCATTAAATGGGATAATGATGGAAGACCTAGTGCCTGAGTCTTTCTTTTCTTTCTTTCTTTTTTTTTTTTAGACAGGGTCTCGCTCTGTCACCCAGTCTGGAGTGTAGTGGCGCAATCACAGCTCACTGTACCTTGACCTCCTAGGCTTAAGTGATCCTCCCACCCCAGCCTCCCAGGTAGCTGGGACTACAGGTGCACACCACTACACTCAAGTATATATATATATATTTTTGTTTGAGATGGAGTCTCACTCTGTCACCCAGACTGGAGTGTAGTGGCACCACCTGGGCTCACTGTAACTACCACCTCCCGGGTTCAAGTGATTCTCCTGCCTCAGCTTCTGAGTAGCTGGAATTACAGACATATGCCACCACACCTGGCTAATTTTTATATTTTTAGTAGAGACAGGGTTTCACCACATTGGCCAGGCTGGTCTCAAATTCCTGACCTCAGGTAATCCACCCGCCTCAGCCTCCCAAAGTGCTGGGATTACAGGTATGAGCCACTGCGCCTGGCCACCTGGCTCATTAGTCTTACATTCTTTTGTCCAACAACGTCTAGAAATTCCCCAATTTAGCTGTGTCCCTGGGATCTGCCCTTGTAACTCAACCTTCCAGTGAGGATGGAGGAGCCTACTAGCAGGGTGTGAGTGAAGTAGTTCCTGGAGCTAAATGAGCAAAGGAAAATGTGGTCCATTATTAGTAAATCTTGTTGACTCTATTTTCAGAATATACCCATAATCCAACCACATCTCCCCACCTCCAGCACTGCTACCCTGATCCAAACAACCATCATTTCTCACCTGAATTATTTCAGTAACTTTCTAGCCTTTTGCAATAACCCCCCTGCTTCCACTCTTCCTTCCTTGCCCAAAGTCCATCCTCCACACTGCAGCATACATGTCCTTTCAAAAGGCAGTCGAGCCACATTACTCTTCGGTTCAATACTCTCCTAACACATTACCATTACTCCTAGAAGAAAAAAATCAAACTCCTTGTCATGGCCTGCAAGATTCACAGTCTGGCCCCAGCCCACCTCTCTGACCGCATCTCCCACCAGTCTCCCCTTGCTCACTCCTTTTTAACCACACTGGCCTTCGTCTGTTCTGCAAAACCAGTTCCTGAGGGTCTTTTCAGGATCTATTTTCTCTGCAAGGAAAGATTTTCCCCCAGATCCTCACATGACAATCTGTCACCTACATCTCGTCTCAGACGTTAGTTACTCCAGAAAACCTTCCTTTTCCATACTGTCCTAAGTTTCTCTCTTGGGTCACTCTCCATCACATTTCTGTTTTAGTTTCTTCCTAGCAGTTACCACTACTAGTAACTGCCTCATTTATGTATTTGTTTATCGTTTATTGCCTGACTGTCTACACACGCACTCACACGCTGAAATGCACAGTCCGTGGAGCAGGTATCTGTCTTCGCCCGTGCCTGGCACATAGTGGCTCTCAATAAGTATTTGTTCAATGAGAACATACAGAGGACAGGGCTGAGAAAAGAGCCGCTCTTCTCCTGGAGGCCACACGAGGGCGCTGCTTCCCACAGATCGGATTGCTAGGGCCGCTCCCTTAGGCCAAGTGGCTGCGTTTCGGGGCGCCGAGCTGGCGAGATGGCCGGGAGAGATCCTAGATCCTCCGCGGAATGGCCCGGAGGGTTGGAGGGGTGGGGGAAGCACAACAGGATAGGGAAGGGAGGGCCAATCAGGCTCATCTGAATGTAGGTCAGGCATGCTGCACACACTGAATACTAAGAATTCATCCCCTGAGAAAGGGGACCCAGGCTGGCCCTCCCACCAACCTCACGTCTGGTCCAGGGAGGTCCCAGGACAGCAATTCGAAGAGCATGTCATTATATTTCCAGTTGGAGAGGGGTGCTGAGTCTGAGTGGAGAGCTGGTTTCCGTCCTAGGAGGAATAGAAACTGGCCTAGGGCCTGAATGGGGCCTGGAACCCCTGTGACCACTCCCTTCAAGAATGTGCCCCAACCTTAGGGACAAGTGACTCAAAGGAGCCTGAGGGGAATGGGAGCAAGGATTTGGTGTGAATACCTCCCCTACATGCACATACACACGTTCCCTTCCCACCCAACTCCTGCCAAAGTTCAGAGTGTCTATCCTTGCCCTTTCTGTGTGGCCCCAGCTACCTTGGCTCCCAGGGCTGCCTGGAGTAGTGGGCCACGATGCCGCCACCCTTCCCGGGTCCCACTTCCACCTCTGGGCCTGAGTGCCCTGAGCTGGGCAGACGGGTGAGGGTTGGCCTGTGGTTACCAGTGTCTCCCAGACAGGGCCCAGGGAAGGTGTGCTGTGTGGGGTGAGCAGCCCTGGGTGTGAGCGCTGGAGAAACCTTGGCCTAGGAGTTCAAAGACTGGGTTCTCACCCTGGCTTAGTCACAGACTTATTGGGTATCCTTGAGCATGACCCTTCCCTCCTCCAAGACTCCATTTTCTCACATGTAAGTGGAGACAGTTGGGGTAGGTTATTTCCCAAGGTTTAAAGCATACTTCTTGCAGTACACTGGACCTTAAGGGAGAGGCGGTAGCCCCAGGAATAGGTTGCCTGCCGGTAAATCCTGGCTTGCTCACTTTTGGCAAGTGGAAAAGAGGTTTATCTTTGCTGAATCTAAACTTTCTTTCTTTCTTTCTTCCTTTCTTTTTTTGACACAGGGTCTTACTCTTCCATCCAGGTTGGCGTGCAGTAGCAATCACAGCTCACTGCAACCTCAAACACCTGAGCTCAAGTGACCCTGCTGCCTCAGTCTCCTAAGTAGCTAGGACTACAGGCACGTGCCACCAAGTCTGGCTAATTTTTAAATATTTTGTAGAGGCAGGGGCTCATATGTTGCCCAGGCTGATCTCAAACTCCTGGGTACAAGCAGTGGCTTCCAACAGTGTTAGGATCACAGGAATGAGCCTCCATGCTCAGTCCCTTACAAGATTTTTAGCACTTTAAAAAAACAAAACAAAATCTTATTGGCTGGGCATGATGGTTCACACCTGTAATCCCAGCCTGTTGGGAGGCTGAGGCAGGTGGATCACTTGAGCTCAGGAGGTCGAGACCAGCCTGAGCAATATGGCAAAACCCCATCTCTACAAAAAATACAAAAAACTAGCTGGGCATGTTGGCACATGCATGTGCTCCTAGCTACTCGGGGGGCTGTGGTGAAAGGAACGCTTGAGCCTGAGAGAGGTTTCAGCTACAGTGATCCCAGATTGTGCCACTGTACTCCAGCCTGAGCAACAGAGTGAGACCCTGTCTCAAAACAAAACAGAAACAAACCTACTGTTTAACTCATTTCAAAATAAATATATAAATAAATGTAAATTAAAATGATTTATTAATGTGAGTCTAATTATAGATTCATAAGAAATTGCAGATCTCCAGCTTTCGTCCAACTTCCTCTGGTGATAACTTCTTTCATTACAGTGGTACAACATAAAAACCAGAACAATGACATAGGTACTATATTGTTAAATAGACTGCAGGCCTTAATCAGATTTCACCAATTTCTATATGCACTCATTTGTGTGTGTGTGTGTGTGTGTGTGTGTGTGTGTAGTTTTATAAAATTTTATCACATTTATAGGTATACTTACAACAAACAGGGCAAATTGTTCAATCTCCTTAAGCCCAATTTATAAAACTGGGGTGATAATACTAACTTCCTCAGAGGAATGTTGTGAGAATTAGAGATAATGTGTATAAAGTGCTTAGAGTCTGAACTTGGTGGCTCACGCCTGTAATCCCAGCACATTGGGAGGCTGAGGCAGGCAGATCACCTGAGGTCAGGAGTTCAAGACCAGCCTGGCCAACATGGTAAAACCCTGTCTCTACTAAAAATACAAAAATTAACCAGGTGTGGTGGCACACGCCTGTAGTTCCAGCTACTCCGGAGGTTGAGGCAGAAGAATCACTTGAACCGGGGAGGTGGAGGTTGCAGTGAGCCAAGATCATGCCACTGGACTCCAGCCTGGGTGACAAGAACAAGACTCAAAAAAAAAAAAAAAAAAAAAGTGCTGGCTGGGAATGCTGGCTCACGCCTGTAATCCCAGCACTTTGGGAGGCCGAGGCAGGTGGATCGATCACGAGATCGAGAGATCGAGACCATCCTGGCCAACATGGTGAAACCTCGTCTCTACTAAAAAATACAAAAATTAGCTGGGCATGGTGGTGTGCACCTGTAGTCCCAGCTATTTGGGAGGCTGAGGTAAGAGCATTGCTTGAACCCAGGAGGCGGAGGTTGCAGTGAGCTGAGATTGTGCCACTGCACTCCAGCCTGGCAACAGAGCAAGATTCTGTTTCCAAAAAAAAAAAAAAAAAAAAAGTGCTTAGAGCAATGCCTAAAATATAATGAGCACTCAATACATTTAAGCTTTTTTTTTTTTTTAAGATTGGGTCTTGCTTTGTTGACCAGGTTAGGGTATAGTGTCGCAAACACAGCTTACTGCAGTCTCTACCACTTGGGCTCAAGCTCTTCCCACCTCAGCCT